GCTGACCTAACAAAAGTTCCAGCTACACGTTTATGTTGCAACTCCTTCTTTCAGTAAAATGCAGCCACACTGTCTCCCTCAGTCTAGACAGGGCAAAAAAAACAAAAAAAAAAAAAAGGGGACAATGTTTGGATTCTGAATCTGTCTCCAAAAAACGCAGACAAAAAATGCATCATTATTCAGATTAGATGAATAATTGGTAATGTAAAATCCAAAACCAGTGTCTACAGGGTTCAATTAAAAACGGATGATAACCCAGTGACTTTTAAAACAGACATTTAAATGGGACTGCACGCATTAATGAAAGATAAATGATTTTGCTCTGTGTGTACATGTGCAAAATTCCTTGAGGAATACTAAGTGTAGCTATTGATTAAACTCTTTCCTGGCCCATCCTGAGAGACAAACTACATTGCGTACTCTGACCAATGCCAAGTTTGGCGAGTGCAGGTTTTTAATGGATCTGGAAAGAGCCCCCCCGTCTCTCTCTTCTAGTGTCCAGGGAACAAAGACAAATAGCTCTTTTATTGCCCTCCTGGTAACACCTCTGTGCTCAGGTTTTCCTTTTTTCCTTCCTCAATCCTTTTCCATCTTCTCTTTGATGAATTAATATCACATTGAATAGCCAAGTCTCACATCTCGCCGATTGTTCCCTTTTTAATCAAATGTGATTACAAAAGGCTGCCTCTGAAAGCCGAGGAGGCATACTGGAAGAATTATAATGAACACGTGCGCGAGTGTGTGTGTGCACATGAATCTTTGCTCTGCTGAAATAGGCTTGACTTACAGTGCAATTAAGGGACTCTTGCTTAGAAACAGCAACAGTACTTCGCATTAACACACACAAAAAGCCTCATCAGGTCCTTTTAGGCTAAATAGTTGGTCTGATGTTTGGTGTGTGCACAATAAAGGCAAACCGAACAATAAAATAATGAGTGTCTTTCCTGTCCTTCAGCCATTTAGTAAGCGTGCACGTCCGTTATAATGGCCTGAGTGAATACTTGGAGAATTTGAGTTTATTCCTGTTTTTACTGACAAATCACTACATTCCAGGTCAAACACGCAGGCCGAGTGCAGGCCGTAGTCGGGTAGCCAGGCGGAAAATTGGAAAATTTAAGCTACAGTGAGTCATTAGCTAAGGCAAATATGAAACAAAAAGCTGTGTCTCCCCAGAGAATTATTTCTGAAGTCTAATCTCTCATTCAAAGTGAATGATTTCACTTCAGTGGATTCTCGAAAATATGCTAACATTATCATTGTTCATGCTAGCAGATAAAACTGACCATCTTCAGCAAATTCACTTGTGCACTTTACCGTAAAAAAAGCCCTTTCTTTATTTTTTATTATCAGCACAGGGCCGCGACTATTTTCCCTTCAGCTTATCCATTTTATACCCATACCTCAGCCCTCTCAATCTTGCTTCTCCCCCTTTTCTTGAGCTGCAAACTCTGTAACTAATTGGATCTGGCATGGTCTGTAATGACTTTGCACTCTATGGGGAGCTATAGGAAAAATCACCCTTCATTTCATCTGGCATCACTCAAGTGACCACATACTGAACCTCAGTGACATATAGCTCCATCCTGCATCCAAAAGGCAAAGACAGCAACATTTACAGGATACTGCTGATCTCGGGTTTGAGAGACTCATATGCATGTGTTGGCCCCTGAGGGCATTTTCAGTTTTATATATGTATGTGTGTGCATAATACCATTATCAACGTCATTTGTCAAATGTTGAAAGTGAGAACCCAAAAGCAGATTCTGCTTTTGGGTTCTCAGGCATAGTTAAACAGGAAACTCGAGAATTTATCGAAGCTGATGATCAGTGTACAAAACAAAACTGAATAAGAAGGAAAACTGAAATCTTCCACTTACTGAACATCAGTGTTGAGTAAGTTACTTTAAATTAGTAACTTAGTTACATTACTAGTTACTTCTATCAAAAGTAACTCAGTTACTTCAAGTTACTCGTTACTTTCAAAGTAACTAGTTACTAGGGAAAGTAACTTTGGTTTTACTCAGAATTCTCTTGTTAATGTGTTGCTTCCATAACTTTGCCAGTCTTCTAGCTTGCTTACTTGCCACAAGTGCACTGTGCCACCTACCAATAGAAAGGAAAAGATAATGTGCATATTTCCACGAGAGAAATCCCACGCCTGGACCGTCATTGACTGCTGCCATGATTCTAGCCTACGTCACAGCGTCATGTGCGCCTTTTACATCCAACACAAAAACTGCAGTCGTGGTGCTTTCGATTGTACTCAGAACTCGGAAATTCTGCCTTCCGAATAGGAAGATGTAGGTAACACCAGACTGCAGATGAGCTGCATACAGGGCTGGACTGGGACAAAAAATCGCCCGGGCATTTTGACTAGAGACCGGCCCCATTATAGGAAAAATCATAAAGCCTTTGAATGAAAACAAACGCTGTGTGTGATGTACACTGTTTGATGGTATATATGCATCAATCTATCAATCGTTTGTTGTAAGACTTCAGATAATTATTTATTAAAAGCTAGACATTTGAAATGAGAATAAGAAAGTATTTCTTTGTGCCCCCCTCTCCCTGTTAATGCCCTACCTGCCCCCTGGCAACAACTTTGCTAGACCCGCCCCTGCACAGTTACCAGCTGTCAGCTACTTAGAAAAGGATCCTGGTGTTATTTGTCTCTCAGAAACAGTTCATAACTTCCCTTCAACTCATTCATGTCACCTAAAAGGTAAACCTGTTTCTCCATCACAGCTCTGATGATCCAGTAAGGACATCTCCTGGTTTCATCTTCATGTTTCCCTCTCACCAGATAACCAAACCATATCATGACCAGCAGCTTTTACAGCTGTGGCTCCAGCAAACATCAGCTGATACTAGAAATTAATATTAAATAAATTCTAACAACAGCTGATCAAGCTTAAACGTGCTGCTGTTGTTTACGCGACATCCGCTGGTTTCCTCTTTCTGGCGCAAAGTGGCGATAAACAAACAAGAGAGAAAAGCCGATCAGCTGATCATTGATCAGTTTCATGATTGAAGTAGAAACAGGAGAGGGAGGGGAGAGAATGAGAGAGAAGAGGCAGCTGTGCAGCGTCAACAGAATAACATCCAGCTTTGTGTCTTTTTCATTGTAGCTGAAGTACCGGGACAAACTGTTCCTTTTCACCTCAATACGAAACCTGTAATATTTTCTCTGAATACGAGACGATTCTGTTTTTAGGGACGGTTGGCAACTCTAATAATTAACCTTATGAACAAAATAAAGTTCAACATCATTAACTATCAATAGCACCACCCAGCTGTATAGAAACTCCGTCATGCTAGCTAGCACGCAGTACGAAAAAGTCAGAATAACGAAAATAAACTCCACCTAAACTTGGTTCATATCTGACCCAGAGAGACTGCAGGTCATAACTTCTTACCTGAAGTTCAGTTCACACTTGGACCGGCGGCCGCCTCGGGTCTCTTTTCCTTCTGCGTCCCCTTTTCCCTCATCCACCTGCTGGCCTCCACCACTTGCTAATGTTACTGAATCTGTGGAAGCTCCGCGATAGCCACCACACGAAGTAACGAGTAACGACCCTATCTAAATCCCAGTAACGACTAACGCGTTCCTGATTTTGGCATAATAACTAGTTACCGTGCTCGTTACCACAATAATAACGTAGTTACTGTAACGCGTTACTTAATAACGTGTTAGTCCCAACACTGCTGAACATAAACTAGGACTGAAAACTAGAGCTGGGAGACACAAGGGATTGAAGAACAGACGCTCAGACAAAGGACTAGGGGAGATAGCAACAATGAATACACAGGAGGGTGATCAGGGGAAGTGAAAACACCAGGGAATGCAGCTGAAACTTTTCAAGGAAATGAGACTGAGTAAAGCAAAAACTAAACACTAAGCACGCAGGATAAGAGATTACCAAAATAAAACAGGAAACAATGAGAAAAGGACTGAGAGATAAAAAGATAAACAACATGAAAATGAGAGTAACTGAACACAGAAGACTTGAGTTGAGCCCTGAGATGAGACTAAGGGAACAGGGAGGGGACAGTAAAGGGAACTAATTAACAATTTTTGAAAATCAAAAACAATCGTGAATTAACAAAACTCAAAGATTCAAACACAAACGTTGGATCACAGACCCAGCACCATGACAGGATTTGGAGATCTAGCAGTGATGGTCAGTGAAGAAAGCAAACAAGACACATTTAACCCATCCAGCCATGAAGCAGAGAGATGCTTCACAGCCAAATACCGAACTTAATAAAACATAAAAATATAAAAATCTGCCTGTTTGTCAATGAAAGGCACTAAAAATGTTTCTAGGTTGAACACTGGTTTGAGACAGAGCAGTATATTAGAAAGAGTTTATACTCCAAGCAAATATTTTTTTAAGAATTCATATTGTTTTAGAAGAAGGACTTGGTTCTATGAGAAAAATTAGAGGTCATCACAATGGCTGGATTATTGCAGACTAACTGCAGACCCATCTGACAACTGGTGTCCATGTGCACTCAAAACATCGTTGTGTAGTACCAGTTTTATCGCTGCTCATAAACTCAGCTGACAATTTCCCCCTTTCTTGAAACCTTAAAACTCGAGTGCGAGCTGCAGCTGGCAGCTGGGTAGTTGCAGAAAAAAAGCGGCTCTTCAGTGTTCACGAACATATTTAGGAAGAAGAAAAATGCTTGCCAGGAAAAAGAACAGGTGCAGAGGAAGTTCTGACTCAACAAACCTTTTCCATCACGCCTGTTGCCTCGAGTCAAATAGAGCTGTCAGAGGCAGTAGAGTCCCAGTCTAATTTCAGCAATAGCTTGGCTGTAAGTAACTGTATGGGGCTCCGAAAATAAAGTCTGTGGGCCAGGGACAAATTTGTTTGCCAGTATTAATTATGACCAAGTTAGATTCTTTTGTCAATAAAAGCCAGTTCCTCCAACATGGGCCTGGATTAAATCACTCCGGTACCTATGCCTTCATGGTGTAAACATTTATTTTGTACCTCTTTTTCTCTGCTTCATATCTGCTCAGGAGTCGCTGGAGACCACCACCTTTAAAGCCCTGGAAGTGGGCAGCTGGGGCACCAACAGTGACGATGTCGTAAAACGCATCTGTAAAGAGAGAGAAAATTGAGTTCACAGCATTTTAGATACTGATTTTTTTTTTTAAAGGCAGAACCTGCAAAACTGGAGTTACTGGAGGACCCCGAATTGAGAAAACTGAGAACAAGAATGAATCCTGTCAAAGTAAATTACATATTAATATAATTTCAAGTAGGATTTTTTACGGAAATGATGGAAATGCTGCTAATAAGAGTAATTTCAAGACACACAGACATGAGGAATGACTCTAATGTGATATTAAGATGTGGCTGTCTTCCGGCTTCAGCTCAAATTAAAATATGAAAAAAAAAATGTAAATATGCCGACCTCCATATCTAATGGCCAATAAATGAAAAATTAGCAATTAAACAATAGATGGGAGAAACACCCTTCAAGCATGTTATGAGTGTTGAAGTTGAACAGTTTGTTAAACTATGTTGGCAACAAATGGCAACAAGTAATCACGTGAGTTTCAATAAAGCAAAATAATTTTTAAACAGCGCTGTCATATTACCTTAGTAAGGAATCATAAATAACGACACATAACCAACGTTAAGAGGATCTATTTATGTTTTGTGAAAGGAAAAAACAATATATCAGATTTTCGTCACCAAATATCGGTATTGAAATCATTTTTTCAAATCTCATATCTGTCAGCCTCTAATTATCTCTATGTATGCTTAGCTCTACTTCTTGCCATCTTTTCATCTTTATTTTGGTCTGGTCCCACGTTGACCTGGAAGGACAACCAATGTCACAGTATTTCATTTCAATTTGCACACCGGGGTCATAAGTAAATAAACACTTCACAGACGGCTAGGCGGCACAGAGGTGCTTAGAACAGGGCTTGATTTGAATGAGTAATGGCTGAAACTGTCAATTAAAGCAGGAAAAACAGAAGGGGGTTTGGGGGGGGGGGTGTATATCTTGGTGTGGTTTAGTGCTTGGTCAGTTAATGAACGCCCATGAGAAAACAACAGTCCACAATAATATTCTAACCAAAAAAAAGAGGCTGAAAACACAAATTAATGACACAACAGTTGCAAGTCTTGCCACAGAGAAGTAAATGACAACACCACTGTAGACCAATAGTGGTTTGATGTCGAGGCTTTGCTACTACCCACTGTTTCTTCCATTAATTATTGAGGTGCCTGGCCATAACACTCCCTGACTGCCACATGTCTGGCCCCTGGAGTTTTCAGATATCCAAGTTCCCTTAATTGGTTCTCCCCCCAGCAGAAGTATACTGAAAAGCAATGGCGGGTTTCAGAACATCAAGCACAATGACCAATTTGTGCTCGATTTGCTTGCTCTTTTTCACACACCGACCGTTTCTCAATAAATCAACAACGGAGCAAGCTGTTATACTGAGAGGACAGTGGCTTTCTGGAAAGAGTAAACTGGTTGTGGCAGTCAGGATGATTGGTTATAATCCATGCTTAACCCATTCAACAGTCCCTTTTAACAATGACAAAGCATTGTTTTACTCGACCTAAATGAGTGCTGAATAATGCTTTCAGTTCAGCTTTGCCGAGCTGTGCATTTAGGCTGGAAATATTCTATAGTTGTCATTTTAGAGGCAGAAGACAGCCACTCACAGTAAGACAAATGAATACTGTTTAGAGCTGGAAGTGTTGCTTTCCTCCCTATTTTCTTTTCTTGCTGAACGATCGGGAGACAAAATGAAAATTAATGGTTTTGCATTGTTGAGTAAATTACATAGCCAAACTTCATCACTTCAGAAAATCAAATGGAAAAATAGAGCTCTTCACTGTAGTTGAAACTGAAACTCAGTTGCATTAAGGACCAGTTTTCATTGTCTTCTGTGCCTCTCTGATTGCAATCATTTTCTTTCCTTGTGGTTTTTCTTTTGCCTTTTCAAATCAAGTAAATTTGAAGGGAAAAAAATGAATTTTACATCCAATAAAGGTTGCTAGAATAAATTAAAACACGAGGATAGCCTAATACCCAGAAATGATGGCTATTTTTTAAAGACAATCTTCTCATCAGTGGCTCTCTGTCTTAATTTTGCACTTAACCATTCACATCAGATAACCACTGATGAACATGCATGAAAGCTGGCACATGTTGAGCTAATTAGAGACAATCAGCAAGTGAACTGGAAACCATGAGCCAGTCGTGTTGCTGTATCAATACATACTGTAGAAGCTCTATACTGTAAAATAGAGCTTCTTAAAAGTATCACGAAAGACGAAGGCTACGTTTTTATGGTTTCCTTGGCTTACTGCATCCATCTTGGATTAGTTGTAAAATCATACCAAAGTACTGAAAGCCACATTTCCATAACTTTTGTGCTTTAAAGCACTTTAAAAAGTCTGATTTGACTAGCGATTCGACTGGTGAAACATCTCTCAGCCAATATGTTATTGTGTAAAACTTACAATACCATCCCTCATTTCTTGATGTGCAGGTGCATCTCTCAGGTCCTGTGTAAAATCTGGATCTTTGGTGGGTTTCTTCCCAGTCATGTCCTGTCCTTTCTTAAGGACATAGCTTTCAGATACTGTTAATCTGCTGTAGATAATCTTTTAAATGGTCACATCTTCTTTTGCCCTCCACTTTTCCACTTTCCTCAAACTTTTTAAGGACACACTGCACACCACGCTGAGCCATCCCAGGTTTTTGTGTAATAGTTATTTGAGAATCACTTTGTTGTCTCAAAAATGATACTTTAGATCTGTCAAACCACGTTATGTTTGCCATGAAATAAGTCTCAAGAAATTAAATAAATGATGTGTTTTTACAGTAGGCTGTTAGGAGTGCCAAGTTGTCTGTTCATCAGTTAGATGCCTCATTTTTTGATTCAATATGTCAGAGTTAGATGGCTTATCATACACAAATCTACAATTACAAGAAAGTCTGGCTTCTTGAAAGCAAAATATAAAGAAATGATGGATGGATTGAGACTTTTGCACCGCGGATCAACATTACTTACTTAACATTGTGACACCAGTGGAAGCTGTGTATACTCTGCATTACACTTAAGCTGCAGCATCTCTGTCTGGTGTGAATTGGGCCAACAGAAGGGAATTAATAGTGTCTCTAAAGTTTATATTAATATTTTTAGATAAAAAGTCGCAGAACTGTATAATGTCTCTGTTTGACTATTTTTATTTGTCCTATCAGAAGCCTTAAAGAAAGACTGATATGTATTTCAACGTTTGCCTGTCTTCAACTTTCTATCAATCATCTGTTGTTTAGTTGCACTGGAGCCCATTCACAGATCATCAGGAAGTAGTTAGTTGCCTTAATATGCTGAGACAGTTCCAGGGCAAAAACAGCCTCTGCCAGCAACAGAGCAGCAGTGGAAGAGACAGCCTAGTCCTTCACTCCACAAAAACTCAAAGGGCTTAATTAGTGTTTTGTCTGTTTTTTTTTAGGCCAAGTTAATTCTCACCTTTCAGCCCGGATGATGACCTAGAACCTCCCTGTCTGAGCCCCCTGAGTGTCTCAGACAGATGGAGAAGTCAAGCACAGTAGGTGACAATGTTTCCATACCGTGTTTGAAGTTACGTTGTGCACAGCTTGAGCTGAGAACCACTTAGAATGAAACTGTTCTCCCACACAAAACCTAATTGCTCTTGAACATGTCTGAAAGGACGTCTGAAGACAATACATGCAATGATGAATCTAAAACAAGTCCAAGTCAGAGGTGCAGTACCTGTTTTTTTGGGGCATGTCACCCTCATCCTCTGGGTGTGCAGGTTTATCGGAATAAACTCCAGAGACTTTTGAGCTTTGCAGCAGCTTGGCTTGAATGAGCAACCTGAAAACATAAACAACAGTATATGTCACAAAACCAGGTTGTGTTGGTCAAGATCTTGAAGAAGAAAGAAGAAAAAAAATCCTTGTACTGTAAAAGCGATTGTGTAGAAGTTATGCTGGGTATTTGTAGTAACCACAACCAAATTTTGATACATTTCCTACACAAATGATTGAAGACACCAAGTTCTTTGCTAAATTAACATGTATTTATTTCACGTTTACATACATTTAAATTGACCAGTGTGCAGTCTTTGTCAGTGTAATAATGATATATCCTGATGCAAATAATAAAAAATTGCATCAGGATATATCATTATTTCTACATTTCTCAGAAGACCAGAGGATTTCTGGCTATACAGTCCAAAAGGTCTCATGCTGGCCTATCTTGCCATGTTTCTAATGGCTCCATCACCCTAAAATAAAAGCAGGATGGCTGACTCCATGCAACTATGAAAAACTGGTGACTGCGTTGAATCTGTTAGAAATTGATTACAAGTAGCTCTGCTGACCAACTGGTCACCTGCAGTTTAAGGTGCAACACCACCAACCTTATTCGATCACATGGTAACTACACAGATTGGCCAATGGGAGCCAATCTATCTCCAAACAGTGGCAGTCTGATTTGGACTGACAACAGTCACTCTAAGAAAAGTCAATTTGCAGTTGAAGGTTTGCAAATAATAATCAGTCCAATACAGTGGTTTATTGTGGGAGTTACGTTCTAAAAATAACCTGCGATAGGTGAAATCGGCGAAGTAGCCAACTTTATTTTTTACAATTATTATAGATGTTTTAAGGCTGTAAAACCCCCTCACTATACACTTTTATAAGACAGGCATGAACATTTTCACACTTTTCTCTCCTGTTTAAACACTCTCAAAGTTCAAACCTTTGTAGAAAAACAAGTTTAGTATTATAGAATGAAACCAAAAGCACCCACAGGTGCCTCTGACGGTGCAAAACGTTTCGTCGACATTGTGGTGTTTGTTGGGGAGAAAACTTACAAATATACAGTGCAGCACTTCAGAGTCACACTGCTAGTGATCGAAGATTTATGTAAATTTTACAAGGTGAACGCATTCTGTACTGTACAGGAGACACAGCATGGAGGAGATTGATTGACAATGGTCTACAGCCAATTAGGACGCAGAACACAATGCGCTGTGAAAAAAAAAATTAAAAAAGCAAAATTGCACTCAAAAAAATCCGCAAAACAGCGAGGCTGCGAAAGGTGAACCGCATTATAGCGAGGGACCACTGTATACACATGCATAAAGATTGCAAACATGTAGCAATCAATCTGAGTCCATCTGTGCTGATGAGCGCAACTCATCTGCAATGCATCTCTTTGTAGCAGGGCACTCAATTCAACTGGTTGCCAACTGGTTGTATTCGCGTTTAAGTTAGATCACCATCAACAACTGTGTCACTATTTGTGGAGAGATTATTGTTTCAAATCCATGAGTTTCTGGCTGGAATCTGAATATAATTAGTTAACATGAATGTCTGTGTATGTAGACAGCAACATATTTGTTATTCAAGTGCCATCTAATAGCAGACTGACCATTTTATCATCATCATGACAGACAGCAACTGAGTGTAAGTGCCGTCCTCAAAGCAGCCATTTCAAAGGCAGTGAGATTGCAAGTTCATTGCATAAAGTCGAAATAATGTTCTCCAATCACTGTCTTCACTAGTGTGACTGTATCATAATGTCCTGCAACATAACTTTCAGCTGTTTTAATTTGCTCCTCTTAATGTCAGAGTATAATCCACATTCCCTGAGCAAATTGTATCTTTTTTCTGCAATATTAGTCATTTGGTCTTCCTTTTGAGTCTTTCATATAAAAAAAAAAAACCCAACCCATATACCACATATATTCCAACATATTTGGCGTTGCAAATACAAAGTGTTTCTCTGAAAAGTGCAAAGCTGTGTCACTGTGAAGAATGTTCTGATTTTATCTAATGATGTTTTCATGCTTATTCACTGTGTTACACCATAAACTGTATTCAATGTGCTTTGATTTGAAGCAACGGTGTTCTATTACTTTTAAACCATATATCTGAGTTTCAAAGTGGTTCATCATGTCTGCAGCCTTGTCATTTGTCAGCCTATTGTATTATAGAAAGCCCTTACTGTCTGCTACAGCTACACCACATTACATTACACGGCTTTTCACTTCATCAGTTCATGTGGCAAGGGACAAAGACACAGAGGCAGGAAGCATTAGATAATAAGTTAAATATATGATCAATTGTTCTCTTGATTGATTTACCAATGAAAAGAAAACCCCTGCGCAATTCAGTGACTTGAGATCTATTTAATGCACGACTGAGTGACAAAAGGGAATACAAAGCAAATTAAAATCGATTTAAATTAGAAGTTGTTGAAGTGGCTGCAGTGCAGATTCAGATATACCTCTACGGATGCGGGGACTTTTACAACTTAATTGCTACAATATGCCGTATAAACGGAAGACATTTGTTCGTTCTCCGTCAGAATTGGTCACTTAATGAATCTGACTTCAGAATACAGCCCCAAAAATAGAGCACAGTTTCACATTTCGCAGGACTTTAAGATAACTGAGAGGACAATTTTCCCAAACAAACAATAACCTTTAAATAAAATGTCAGAAAGTAATCATACAGTTTTAAAATACTGTAAGCTATGAAGAAATTATTGTAATCAATTCTTTCATGTTCACCATCATGGACTGGACTGTTAAACCAAAATACCCTACCTTTTAATGTGCATCAAGACTGTTTAACACACAGTTGGAACCCAGCAAAGTCAAAATCAGCTGACTTGCAACCTTGCAATAACCTCTAATTTATGGTGTAATGCTTTGAGCACAGTACTTTATGTCCTTTGCAAACACTACTCTGTTCAAAATGTCCAATTAAATGTTCCTGCCAAATGACATTCTTTGTTTTTGGCTTATATTTAAGCTCAAAATCATTTTCTGACACTTCAATTTGGCTGCTCATATCCAACAGGGGTCATTAGCCTTTTGAGCATTCAAATACACTCGAGCAAAAGAGGCACTGCAATCTTTGCAAGTAGAAGTAATTGAGTTATAAAATATATAAATATATCCCCTTCAAGCTCGGGTCCTCTACCAGAGGCATGGAGGTTAACGGTCCTGTGCAGTATCTTTGGTGTTCCTATGACTACAAACTTCTGGACAGAGATCTTGGATGTTGTTTCTGGAATCTGCTAGTTGTTGGAGCTGCTCGCCAAGTTTGGGGGTCACCTCCCCGAGTGCTCTAATTACCACGGGGACCACTGTTGCCTTCACCCTCCACAGCTTCTCTACCTCCTCTTTGAGTCCTTGGTATTTCTCGAACTTCTCGTGTTCCTTCTCCCTCACGTTGCTGTCACGTGGTATAGCTTTCTATCACTACAGCCGCCTTCCTCTGCTTGTCCACCAGATGACTTCCAGATACAGACGGACCAACTTCCAGATAGACCAAGAAGTCCCACAGGATCTTAGCTCAGTCATCCTCAACCAATCTGGAGGGCATATCCCATTTTGACCTTGACACTTACAGACCCTGCACCTTGTTGTTACGTGCTGGATTATCTCAGGGCCATTTCCACACAGCCTGAACCGTCGGGTCTTGCCTGCTATGGTTCAGAGTGTTTAAATGAGAAGCTGCATCTATTCATTCTGTTTTATAAAAGCAATTGCAGCATTAGGCCGATCAGGTGTTTTTATTCAGCAGTGTTATATTTAATATCGCAAAGGCTTGTCTTGTGATGACTTTTCCAGAATTTGTGTGTCGATGAATGCCAAGCTTCTTGAGACACATTAATAGTCTGTCTGCACACAAAGGCTGTGGGCAGACAAACCTACTTTTGCTGATGTGGGAAACACATCATCACATTCCTTTAAGCCAGAGGAAGTGACTTTTTTCCCCAGGAAAACCCACCAGGAAAGAATAAAAACTTTCCTGTGCAGCAGTTTGTATCAGCATTACAGGATAAACAAACATTCCTTATTTAGGAGGGGATTCATAAAATATTCTGGTTAGTCGAAGACATTCCTGTCATATTAACAACACCAAAAATGTCCAGAGTGTGAAATTCTGGCATAATTTCTAAATGTTTTAGAATGATTTTATTGTAACAAATTGCTCGTGTCAGTAATTCGTTTACTTAACATGTTTAATTTGTGTGTGAGTGGCAGTATAGCGTGTTGACTGCAGAATAATGACTAAAACCATACTTTGCAACTCTTCTATCTGACAAGCAACATAACTCACCTTTAGGAAAACTTAACTAAGCTGTACTGAATCTTCTCCTCCTGTAATCACTCTTGAGGCAACAGACCAATAGCCAACAATCAGAGCCTCAGCACTATTTACGATCTATGTTGACACAGAAGATAGATGAGAAAACCTGTAACCCGCCACAAATTTTTAACATCATTTGGCAGGAAGGCCAGAGATGAAAACAAACTCACTGCAACTCAATTACAGCATATAATGGTGCAACTGCTGACCCACTCAAGCTGAAATGTGTTGCCTCAAAAATGGCTAACACTAATGACTCAGCTGTAGACGTTGGAGATGTGGCTGGTATTTTTACGAGCGCTGAAATCAATCATGTCTTCTTACTAAGGTGGCAGATTTGCTGCCCTTTATCAAAGTGAAAAAATAGACAGATGCCGTTTCTAGCTAAATATACATTCTGCTTAAAAATACAGTGCAAACCAAAGCATGAGCAGTTTTCAATGCTGCAATCAGTCAGTACTACGTACTAGTAAATCATTCGACATTCAGCAATTCATATAGTGCTTTTATTACCTTTATACTATGAGCTTATATAACCTCCACAACATGTCTAAAGGTGTAATCCTAAAGCCAATCATAGTGTGAAGGGTGCCCAGGGATTAGCTAAACAGCACAAGGAGTTTTAACAGTTCTGTCAGGCTGTATTTGGCTAATTTCTGATATCACCACAATGACATTTTTAATTGAGTAAATTAGCTCATC